TGAGTGCATTTTCTTGTTGTCGTCTGCACGTACCAACTGAAAGTGAGTTGCTTATGTACAGACCTCATGTTAGCAAGCTAGAAAGCGAGGTACTTGATGTTGGGGCACATTAACAGTCACTGCTAGAGCAAAGGAGAGCTAGTGGGCTGATGTGCTGTTTGCAGGGGCTTAAAAAGAGTGGGGTTTTTCGTTCAGTGCATAACAGGTTGAAAGTGTTTTGGTATTTACTTTTGTCTCCCATACCGTTAGCATCAGAAAGATAGAAGTTTGAGCCAGATTTAGTGAACCACCTTTCTCATATGCTTCATGCTCAGAATTGACTTTCTGCCCAGGCATGGGGGCATTCAGGCTTTTGCTTTCTTCTGCAGCAAAGGACATTGACAGAGACCTGTCAGAACTATGGTGGTGTGTGTTACTTCATTGGTTTTGGTCCTCTCAATGTGGTCTCTTAGTTTCCTGATGATCGACATACTTTGGTTTAATTTAAATTGTTGGGCTCAACACAGAGGTTACTGTGTGGGAATGGAAGTAACTGTAGCGAGCAGGAGGTCAGATAAGGAGAACTAATCTCCTTAAATACCGTAAAAATAATTTTACACAAGATCATCATCTTAGGTAGCCTAGTCTCTGGTGCCAGTGGTTTGTGTAGCAATAATACTTTGTAATTCCAAGAAAGGGGAGAGAATGGAAACATCTGTCATGACCCTTTCTAACTTTCCCTTCCTTAGAAAGTATCATTGATCTGCAGCAGTGAAACAGGACTGAAACCTTGAAACTTAGTTTACAAAACCAAAGAATGCTCCAGGAAATAGAAGTAAAGGAAACAAAAAGTGTGTTTATTTTAAAAGACTTGAAAGTAAGCCAGAGTCATTACTTTATGAAAATAGTAGGGTTTTCTGTAAATCATCTAGCTAGCATCTAAGTAATGAACATGTGGGAACTGGAACAAAAGAGCTGATTCTGGGAGAACATGGAGCAGATAGTCACCACTTGAGGCAGATGTGTTGGGTAACCTATTGCTTAAGGTGTTTTCCTTCAGAAAGAATGAGCCCAGGAGCAGAGCAGGGAAGATTTGATCTCATGATATTTATGACTAGATGATCTTTAAGATCCTTTCCAACACAAACCATTCTTTTTTTTTTTTTTCAGTGATGCCTAGTGACAGGACAAGAGGTAATGAGCACAGGCTTGAACATAGGAAGTTCCATCTAAACATAAATGCACGAACACTGTGCTTCCCGATCGGGAAGCGCATGTCCCTCTGACTTTCTTTGGCTGATTGATGACTTTAGAGCTGGGTATTGCCTCCTTTGCTCTTCTCCTTAAACCTTGAGTGCAAGCAGAAGGGGTGTGTCAGGATGGACACTTAAAGTGAAATAGAGTATTTTTTCTTTGGACAAAGGAACTGAACGAAACCCTGTGAGAAGTCCTGTGACATTCATGTCATATGCCAATAACTCTTGCTTTGCCATCGACATAGAATGGCAGCACTCACTCATGGGGAAAAAAATAGGGAATTTGCAAAGGAGAGCAGTTTCCATGGTAGCTGGCTGTACAGTATTTTCACTGAACCTGATTGTGTGAGCTGGGGTCTGGTATTTGTAAATGTGAGTCTCCAAGGTGGTGTGCTTGTCAGATTTCCCTGTCTAGAGCCCAGACCACAGCCTGTGCCCACTCTGACACAGTCGAGAAAAGATTGAGGAGCTCGATGTCTGGTGATTTCAGCCGTGTGTAAGACTGAGTGATTGGAAATTCCTGCGTTGAACGTTACAGGAAATGAAGTACGTCAGAGTAATGCAATGCAGCTATGTGTAACTCCACTGTTTATGGAAAAAGAAAAAGCTGGGTGGTTAGTTGTGTTTTTTTTTCTCCAAAAAGAAACATCTTGAACCCTTGGTGAGACTTAGTGTGGTAGCAGCTGAAAGGAAAAAGCAGAGAAGAGTTTGCCAGCGCTGGTTGTGACAGTTGAGGGAATTTGTTTGCTCTGCTCTGGCCCTGTGCAAGCACAGAGGATGTGCTTGAAGTTATAAACTTTGTGTGTATAAACATACAAGGTGAGAGTAGTGTTGCTTTCTAGAAGCAAAATCCCTCCGTTTCGGGATAATTTCTATCTGGTTTTGGCCTTGTCAGAGTGGCAGTTGCCGTGTGTCTGAGCAGAAACTTGAAAGCACCTAATGCTGAAGGTTGGTTGGGGTTTTCTTTGAAAATGCTGGGCTGATTGATTGGTAACAGGGAGACTTGTGGGGACAGTGTTCCTGCTGTAATACGTGAGCTGTGTTTCTGGGAGCATTTGAACTTTTTACACGTGCTTTAAATAAAGCTCATAGCCTGTGGTTATGGAGCAGATTAATAGTAACAGCTGTGGGCTAACAGAGGATTAAAACTGTCTTAGCTTATGAGAACATCAGTGATAAAATGCTTCTGGTATGAAGCCTCTAAAGACTTATAGGATTGTATGTAAATAGTAAATATGTTTCTATGGTGTTTATCTTTCATTCTGCTTGTGACTGCTGTTCTGTTTACACAATTCTTGTTTCTGGGTGCTGTGAGGTTAATGATATTTTCAGACAGGCGGTTATGCGAAGAAGTTATGCAGGATCTACACAGTCTTAAAATATTTCTACGGTGTGTTTTGTTGGCAAGAGTTTATAATGGTGGAGAGCTTCATGCCTTGCAGAGTGAAAAGAAGTGAGCGAGTTACAGTCCATGCTAGCTCAGCTCTATTTCATCACAGATTAATTTGTTTCACCTTTTTTCCTGCAGGGATTTGGTAGGGTAGGGACAAATATGGTAATGTAGTTCAAGCTACCTAGTAAGTTCCAAAATATTTTAAAACATTTATTCCACGCTGTAGGCTTGGTTTAGTCTATTGAAATCCTGCCTGGGAAGGAAGGCGCTGCTAAGATACAATGGGCCACAAACAGAAAATTGTGTAGTGCCTTCAAGGGGTGAGAAATGGATAGATAGTTTTAAAACATATGGGGCAAAGATATTTTAGTAGATCTGTCTAGTAAGTAATAAGGTAATAAAAAAATGAAAAATTGACTAGGTTGAGACAACTCATACTAAATAATTTCGGTATCTGTCACCAAGCATGCACAGAATTCGTCGAGGCTTTATATTTTCTCATACTATTATATGAGCTCTTGGGCTCATATAAGGTCTGTTACAAGTTAAGGGCATATTCTTTATTTAGTCTTTAAATCTGCTTCTTCTAAAATAAGTTTGAAGCTTTTCATTTCATTTTCATAGTACAGACACCAACCAGAACTATACAAAGTCTTGCAGGTTACATACTCCTTTTATTTCTGTATAAGCTTTTTCCATCTAGATAAAGGGGAGAGGGAAGTCTCAAAATCACCTGTGGTGTTACAGAATATTTTAAGACTTGCAAGAGAGTCATGTAAATACATTCAGTTGCTCTGTTTTTACGAATTGAATGAATTGCTATACTGTAGTACCAGATTGCAACTTGCTTATATTCTGTAGGCATGTATCACGTCTTCTGTAAAGCTTAAAAGTTTAACTTCTAATGTATTCACTCTTTTTTAAATATTCAATTCTTCTTGTAAACCAAGTAGTTGGGATACAGTTGGCTTTAGGCTAGCTAGGAGAAAGTGCATGGCTAAGATTTCCTTTAATTGGGCTTTTGCATCTTATTTTTCCTCTCAAAATTTACAGTTGGCATCTTTTCAACTGATATATCTATTCAGTTAGCTTAAAGCTTGTGTGGTACATATTTTGCATAGTCATGATAACGACTCTGAGATATTCCTTCAATACACAACCCTCCCTAATTTTTTTTTTTTAAAAAAACAAACTAACTTTGATCTTTTTCTGTATTTTCAGAGGATTTTCTTTTCCAGTGTGTGCAAAGGCAGGTCTCTTCTCCCTTGAAGTTAACCTCTATTTGCCATTTATCTCCTCTTAAGATTAAGTTTAGTCATCTTGGTTCAGCATCGTCGTTTTCAGAACAGCCAATTATGCTGCATGCCTAGAGGTGAAGCTTTGAGAAACAATTTCATGCTTGTTTGCAAATATGTCCTAGTACAAAAAAAACGAAGGAAAAAGGGAAATTAAAGGAGTGTACCAAACTGACTTTAAGTTTGAGAAGGGTGGTGTGTGTGATGGGTGCTGCCAAATCTGTTCTGGAGCCAGTTACTGAGGTGCCCATCGCTCCCTAGAGAGCAGAGCACACCTCCCACGGCTGTCACGTGGCCTGAGGCTGAGACCTGGCTTGTATTTGCCATGGGGGTTCAAATGCAGTCATGTTTGAAACAGTGATTTGATTTGTGATGTAGTTGTAATATAATAGTGATACTGTTACTGCTTTACACTGGCCAAGAGGTTGGTTAATTCTGGTTTAGTGCACAGTGTGGTGTTTTACACTAGGCCTGTGAAGCAATTGACTGAGAAAGTCTTAAGCAAAGCAAAGAGCTTGCAGAAAAGCCGTGCTCTCACTGTCTTAAATAATGACTTTTTCTTCTTAAGTTCTTTCTGCTCCCCGTGGTTTGTAAATCTCTTTAACCTGTGTCAAAAGTCAGCTCTGGCAAAGAGAGAAGGGCCAAGTAAAGTCCAAGTAAAATGAAGGCCAGAGCTTTGTTTGTTTTCATTCTGGTTTTTGTACGCTTTTTCCTGCTTTGTCCTTCTGGCCCTAGGAGCCAGAACAGAAACCTCTCGCACCCCCCACAAATTGAATAGAGTCATATTTCTACAAGGTTTGCTTATTGTTGCCAATTGAGCACAGACCCTTTAGGGTGTGTTTTGCTGAAAGTTACATGGCATCTGTAGTTTGATAGCTCATATCCTGATCAGATTCCAGTTCTAGTTGTAAACTAGACTAATTCCAGTCTGTCTGCAGTGGGAAAAAACCCACAGCTAATGGAGATCCAGGACAGTCAAATAGCATTGTTACAGTATTCTTCAGTGTAAGTCTTTAGGTTTATGTGTTTACTTAATCTTTGTTCCATTCCTTTTCAAATAAAATCTCTGTATTACAGGCAAAAGCAGCAAATCAACGATTTGCATCAGAAGATAAGGGAAAATGAGTTACGAGCTCAACACGCAAGACTGAGCCATCTTGTGAACTGCGAAGAACCTTACATGACTAATTTGCAGGTAGGATGGATATTTTTCCTTTCAGCAAAGCTTTCCGTTGCCCAGTAACTGACACCTGAAAGCATGTTCACAATTTACTGCAGACAAAAAAGTAGAGCTTTTGTTACTATTAATGGTTGTGTAGCAGTAAATTTTATAGAGGAGAGTGCCCTCTAAGCGTTGTAGTTTGCCTTACATTTGCAGAAATCTAAGTTATGTTAACATTTTGTATGTACTTCCTTGAAATCTGTAAAAAATGGTGTAAGAATGAGGGATTGTGATGCTGTAAGAATAAAGTTTTACTGGCAGCGTGTAGCGCAGTTATACAGGGGGTCATTAGGGGGTCAAGTAGTTTGATAAGAGAGTATTGGAAAGCAGCTGATGGAAGGTTTTCTGAAGAGGAGGAAGCGCTACCTAAGGAAGCGATTAGACTCTATTGACAGAATAGGTGGAAGAGATGGGAGAAGGCAAACAGACTAATGAAACACCTTTGCAGAAAACATCCAAAAAGGATATGGATTAATATTCCTAGGGAACACAGTCTGAAAGGGAACTTGTGGTGGTATTTTGGGCATATCTGTCCTAATTTTTGTCTAACTAGCACAAGTATCAGAAAACGTAAGGATGAGATGCCATAGGCTACCCGTGAAATGCAGATCAATTTGAGGACTAGCTGCTACCCTCCTCTAAGCACACAAATTCCATTTCCAGACCTCAGCATATCTTAAAGGCAGTGCAGAAAAAGAATGTTCAAGGCAGATATGCAGCGAAATAGCTTTTCTGTCCCCTTTTTATTGCCTTATCTTTTTCTGTCACAAACGCTGCACCAGGATCACAGCCGTACTTCAGCATGAGGTTAATTCTGTCTTTGGAATAATACAGCTGTGAGTCAGCTGGGAATCTGGTTTGTGTGAGACACGAGTGAAAGTCAAGTGGAGCCTTGGTGTGAAGTTAGGTATTCAGAAACATTTTCAGACATTAGGAACGTGGCTTTTGGTGCTTCCAGAAGATCTTTTATAAAATACTTTAAAATACTTTAAAATTCTGTTTAGGTTAAAGTTTGGGGTGGAGAAATAAATTACTGCAGAAACTGAAATTTTAGTGTGCATATCTTTGTAGCCCATAATACACTTCAAATAACGCAGCAGGTGCATTCATCTTTCATAATTTAAAGAGTTTTAAAAGTTTGTAATGTATTAGAATTTCTGCTTGATTTGTGTGCTTTCTATGAGATTAACTTAGAAATGCAAATCTCCTTTAATGGAGGTTTTAATCTCCTTTAATGCTTTTCTGAAGGAATGTTACTAGTTAAAATACTGTCTGTATAATAATATCTGTAAAGATACCAGTATTTGGTATTAAAAGAACCTTGAAACTGAAAGCCTGATGGGATGCATCTCTTTTATCCCACATGCAGCCGATTATTTCCATTTTGTCCTTGTCTGCGTGTGGGCAGTGGAGGCAGAAGAGTAACTGCATGAAACAGAAAGGGAGAGGAGGGTTTTGGCGTGCGGGACAGAAGGCAGGAAGCCTTCCCATTGTAGCTCTAGTATCAGGCTTGTCCCTACACCATTTGGCACCTCAGGTGTGGTAGTTTTAAGGTAAGACTGGTACTAAGGTTCTACTTTAGAAGGATCTTGAGATTGAAGCCTCTTAATATATTCATAGCCATTTTATAGAGTGTTTTTCTTCCTACAGGATGGTATGATAATGCAGTGGCAGTGACTTGTTTTTAAACCACTTTTTGTTTGGATTTTCAGGGAGTTATTTTGGAAGAAAAGTCACGCCTATTCCATAAATCTGAGGAGGAAAGTAGCTCCACAATATTCATTTGTATATGTTGTGGATGTAAAGGTGTCCAGCTTCTTTATTTTTTTTTCCTCCAGATTCCTGAAATATGTGCTACTACCATGTATTTTAATGTTTGAAAAATCATACCCCACCCTTCCTGATAGTGGAAAAAAATGCAGGAGTGTTTTCTGCTGTGCTGCTCAAGTATACGGTGGTATGTGTATGCTCATTTGTATGATTATTTTCTTTCTTTTTGTAAGCAACCACAGTATGAGAGCACACCACTGCAACCTCATATTTTGGAAAGATCAGCATTGCACTTTGAGGAGTTTGAACGGAAGATTGCAGCAGCTGAGAATAAGGAATTACAACTCAGTGAATTTGTAAAACAAATTTCAAACAAGTCTAGTGAGGAAAAAAAGAAGATGGAGGAGAAAGTAAGTGTCTTTTCAAATTTCCTTTTGACGCTGTTTATAGCAGCGTATGTTTTGTTTGCTAGAAAGCAACTTAGTATGTGGGTCACTGAGCTGTTTTCAAAAGGTAGCTAAACTGTCTGTGATAGAAACATTGATAGTGATTGTAGGTGTTGGCAATGGATAAATCTGAACTCATGGTGAATACATCCTAAAAAAGCAATACTATATCAAGTGGCGATCACAATGACTGTTTTAACCAGGTATCAGTTAAGCTTGCTTAGAGGAAAAGCTGCTCAACTCCAAGAATTTGTGTAGCTTGAAATGGTTATTTTAGTAAATAAAATATCATTAAAATACATAGAAAGAGTG